ACACACACACACACACACAGTGCCTGGGTCCCTCCATACGTCCAATTGCCACTATTAATCCAACTTAGTCGCCTAAATCGGCTGAAATGTCTCCGTGTCTGTTTGTTCCCATAACTTGCTCTTTGATGAGGACGGAAGAGAAAAACGTGCTATAAATGTTACTCTCACAACAAACCAGCAGCTTCCTTCAACTCAGAAATATGGCTTGCAATTATTACTGTAGGTGAATTTCAAAAGGAAATGTCTGGGACCCCATAATAATAATAATAAATAATAATTTAAAAAACGAAAACAAAGTCTATTTTTAGGACCATTATGATTCTGTAAATTGTGACATTATTTTAATGACAATTCAGCACATTTTTTCCCTTAAATTCTCATTATCACATGCAATTCTCACTATTTATTTATTTAAATAACCAATAAATACATTTAATGCCATGCAATAAATAATACCATGATGTATAAAAACAATTGGGCTTTACTTAAATAATAAACAAACACTTTTCCTATTACAGTAGCATACATTTGTGGGGAATATGTGCTTAATTATCATGAAAATAAAGGTAAAAATGCAAAAATTGCTCTAAAATGGCCCAAAAATTGCCATAATGGTTTTAAAATTAAACAATTTTTTTAATGCAAAATATAATTTATTATTTTCCTCTTGATTTGAAAGACCCAGAAAGTTCTTGACAAAATGCAAAAAATAGCCCTAAAAATAAAGGCCCAGAAATGTCCGTAATGGCCCTAAAATAGACCTAATTTCTTTATTTTATGTACAAAATGTATTATTATTTCCCTCATCATTTTGGAGTAAAATGAATGACTCCGAAGGCTCTTCACAAAACACAAAAATGGCCCTAAAAATACGCTAATAGTGGAAACAGTGGTGGATGTCCTGTGCTAGTTGTTCTTTTGACTTCTTCCACACAGATCTAACACAACAGCTGTGGCAGTAACCTAACACGAGCCCGGTGTCGTGAGTAATCACATCAGCGTTTTCTCAAGCCTGAAATCAATTGAATTCACTGTAGCAGCGATGCGCTAGTGTAAAGTTTGCTTTTGTGCTGCACTTCTTATGGCATTCTGTGTCTTTAAACAGACACATTAATCCAAATAATTCAAAGGCTTTTCATTTAACAATAGAAGTGCATTAAACAAATGCCATTTTCTCAGGATTCCCCTCTACGCCTTTAACAGACTCCTCCAGCGGAAGGACGAGTGAATTATGCAGCGGCTCTTTCAGTATTGATGAACTCTGTGAGGAATACCGCCATTCCTTCAAGTTCTTCACATCCCGAACAAACACATCAGTCGGTCACACAGAGAGTCACACCTGCAGGACGCTGCGGGGAAGAAAGTCAACGTGAAGCATGAAAAGTGGCGTGTTTGTTTACCGTCCAGGTCGTTCTCGAAGGTTTCGGCTGCGATCCACTCCGTCGTCGGTCCGGATCCGTTCACGGTGGAGGCTGACACTCTCACGGTGTACATCTTTCCTTTCTCCAGACCTTGAAGACAACAAAACCCGTAACATTGTCACCATTCGGCAAATTTAATTATATGCAAACTATGTGTTACATAAGCAGCAGTTCTCTTGACTCAGCAACCTAAACACTTTTCTTAAGATTTATGAATATTGCTGAACACATTTTTTAGATTTCCTGTGGAAAATGGTAAAAGTTTTTGCCCATTTCTTAGTGGTTTCTTACGGGTTCAAGTCAAAAGATATGCTAGATATGACTCGAGTCCCTTCCTGTAACTCTGAGGGATTTATTTTTTTCACCATTAATTAATTATTTTTTCTGTAGCAGTGTTATTATCATTAATTAAAATCAAAACTATTCAAAATTGCTTTCTGTTATTGAAATAAAGCTAAAATAAGATAAAACAATATATTTTTTATTTTAAACTACCTGAAATAAGTATATTTTTAAATATAAAAAATAATAATAAAAATGACAAAAGAGCATTAAAATTACTGAATAAAGTTGAAATAAAATAAAAGAAATATTACATGAAAAAATTTTTAATCAATTAAAAAAACTTAAATGAAAATAATGTTGCCTTGGCAACTAACTGAAATAAAAATAAGTTTAAATTGCAGTTCTAAGATAATTTAAATAAAAACATATTAAAGTTATTAAGAAATAATAATAATAATCAAATTAATTAAATAAAATATGAATATTAGATAAAAAAAATAATTTAAAAAACTTAAACTATAAAATTGGAAATGTTACCTTAGCAACTGACAGAAATAAAAATAAGTTTAAGTTGCAATTAAAATTATGTTTTATACGTATATATATGTGTGTGTATATGTATATATGGGTAGTTGACAAATATACCGTAAATGTGTCCTATGGTGTGACGGCAAAAATTTAGAAAAAAAACTAACAATGAAGAAAAATCTCTCTCATGCTATTTGTATATTATTAACAATTATTAACAAGAAATTAATTATTAATAATGAATAATTATTATTTTCAAATTTTTGCTGTTACACCATAGGACACATGTACGGTATATATGTCAACAACCCATATATATATATATATATATGACAAAAGCACAAAAAAATACTAAATAAAGCTGATATTAGATTAAATTTAAACATTTGATAAATATTATACATTTAAAAAACTTCAACGAAAATTAACAATGTTTCCTTGGCAACTAACAGAAATAAAAATGTAAATTTAAACATTTGGTAAATATACATTTAAAAAAAACTTAAATTAAAAATTAAAAATGTTTACTAACAGAAATAAAAATAATTTGCAGTTCTAAAATTAATTAAAAAAAATATTACAGCTATATAGAAATATATTAAGAAAAAATAATAAAAATGACAAAAGCACATAAAATTGCTAAAATAAAAAATATGAATAAATACTGTACTAGTACACAAATCAGACTAAAATAACAGCGGTTTGTCGTACCCTCAATGAGCTGAAAGAGCTGTGTGGTTGAGATCTCCATTGCGTCTGCTCTCCTGAGTCCTTTCCGGTAGCGTAGCTTATACCCCGTCAGCTCTCCGTTCAGGGTACCAGCGGGAGGCGTCTGCCACCGGACCATGATGCTCTGGGGCATAAAACAGGACACATGGTGAGCTTGGAGACGAAGCAAAGCCATTTCAGCATGAGTAGAGTCTCAAAAGTGAGTGCGTTTTAATGGAGCAGTGGAGCGCATTATATAAGCGTCTAGAGGTCACAAGTTCTTCAGGTGCACCTGAAAAGAGTGTGTCAGAGCTAATGCTGTCAGCTGAGAGGAGCAACGCCTTCAGGCTACGCAATAATGAATGAAGAAAAAACCCAAGTATGCTTCATGAAACAGGAGATGATCCAGGATCAGTTCTGACTGACGGTGGGAAGCATGCACACTCTCTGAGAATGAATCATTAACTTCTCTTTCGGGTAGGGACTACTCATTTGAACAGACTTAAAGTAACGTATTACAGGCTCTTACAGAAACGTTCCGTGCTAACTACAGTTTCAGCTAAAATAGCACTGATTGGATGAACCTCACAAAAACTGTCAAGAGCATGTCCGAGTCATACTTCACCCCGAAATGAAAAGAATTAAGATATTACGTTTTGCATAAGCAAAAATCGGTCTACTTTTGGGACCATTAAGATTTTTGGCTAGCAGTGTGTCATTATTTTTTATGACAATGAAGCACAATTTCTCCTATATTCTTATTACTGCAAAGTAATTACACACACACACACACACACATGTATATATATATATATACATACATACACATAATATGACGATAATTTTGGGCAAGATTCTTAGTTGTTAAAATAATATTGTGGAAATAATCATAATGTACTATAAATAATACTATATAGTACTATATATATAGTATAATAGTAATATTAGGCTTTATTTTGACCATTAATTGGCCATGTGGCCTGATGTGAATAATCTCAAAAGAGCCAAATACCGGCCGAGTATTTTATTTTATTTTTTTAAACTGAGCCTATTTTTTTAGGGCCATTATTATTATGATATTTTTTTAAATTCATCTTATCTTTTTTTTGCATTGTGACATTATTTTACAATTACCGTAAAACAAAAAAAGAAACAATAAAAACAAAATAATAAAAATAAAAAAATATATATTTTTGCATTGTGACATTATTTTCACGACAAGCACATTTTCACCAATATTTTAATTACTGTAAAATAATAATAGAATAAAATAAAAAACTAAATTATATATATATATATATGCATTGTGACATTATTTTCATGACAGTTAAGCATATTTTCACCCATATTTTAATTACTGTAAAAAATAAACAAAATAATACAAATAAAGTATACAGCATTTATAAATTATTTTAGTATTTATGCTGTCTTTAATATATGCTATATAAAATAAATAAACGAACAAGATGTAAAAAAAAAAAGGAAAAAAAAAAGGCTGGTATAGTAATGAGAATATAATGACAATAATCCTAGAGAAAAAATAAGAAATAAAATTAAATAATGAGAATTTTCGGGGAAATACTTCATTGCTTAGTCAAAGAAATAATGTCACAAAGACGTCTTAACATTACTCTTCATTTTGTTATTCTCAGTAATCTCAACATGGCAGAATATTGGCCAATATATCGATCTATCACTAGTCACAATACTGCAAAACAAAAACAATCAAAAAAACTGACAACTTGTATTAACTTGCATTATTTATGACTGTAACTAGTATTAGTCAGAAAAATTCTGAATGCTTCCTACATTATGATTTTACAGTAACATCAATAACTATAGCAATTCTAGTGTTTAAGTTACTGTATGGCTTATTTTCCTGGCCTGAGGTGTCTTCTTCATGAAGGTTCAAACCCCACAAGAGCTGATGTACTACACAGCACTGAAACATTCATCAGCAGAGCTCTCGACCAATGAAAGAGGATCTCACCGTTGAGTTCAGGACCTCCAGAGTGAGGTTCTGCGGAGGAGCGCTCGGCACTGAAACACAACAGATTGATTACTGAGACGACAAACACATTCAAAGACTCGGTGACGGGTGTTTATTTTTGGCTTTACTCTGCTTTTTCTGTCTCCTGTTCTTTCAAGTGAGCACTGGAGGATTTAAGGCATCGTAGTTACACTCCTGAGGCTGATTTAAGTCAGGAAGCATAATTAAGTTTCCCCTTATTTTACATTAAAAGTAACCTTTTTATCGCTTTTTGCTGCTTTTTTAATGTGCATGAATTTAGTTCTGCACCAAATTGATTTCAAATGCGACTTCAAAGGCAGCGATAAATTGGAAATGCAAACAAATACACTGTTATTCTGATATATGTATAATTCATCCAACTGCGACAAGTCTCTATTAAAAAAAAGCTATTTTAAACTAAAAAACAGAGTATTTTAAGCAATATTTATTTTTATGCATATTAGAGTATCACATAAAATAAATAAATAAATACAATAGAAATAGAAATATTTTGTCAGCGATAACTTGGAAAGAAATGGTTAGAGAATATATTGATATGTTGATATATTTATAATTAATCCAATGCAGACTTTTCTTATATTTTTATTTATAAAATATATATTTTTTTAGTTTAAGTTTTTATGCATATCAGAGTAACTAAATAAATATTGTTTGAATAAAAAATATTTGATTTAAATAAATAAACTATTTAAAAATATATTTTTATTAAATACTAAAAAATTTTAAATATCAAATATTTCAATTTATAATAAATTCTTCACTTCTGTGGAAGTGTGGGCTGTAGACAGGAGCTGTGTTCAGATCATTAATAAAATAAATCGCAATCATATTTAAATATAAATGAAACAAAAATAAATTATATTAATCAATAAAAATGAGTAATAATAAATAAATATTATTTAAATAAACAAACACACAAACATACTATATTCAGCCACCACATTGAGCACTGTAATTTCTAAAAAAAAAAATTTTTTTAGTGGTCTGAGGACAAGTGTAGAAAGGAACTGTACTCAAATAATTAATCAAATATATCTGAATCAGATCAACTGGAAAAATGTTATTTTGCATATCCGGCTTTACATGCACTGGTTTTCTGTGTCGTTTCATACTCAAGTAAGCCCTCAGCTTTACTGAACCAATTAAAAACATTTGCCTTCCTGTATGCTAATGGTTTCGCTTTAAGTCTGAACTAAAGCGATCATGTCAGCATGTCACTTACACGAGTCTCGTGACAACACTGACACAAAAACATGCTCATGAATACTAAGATCAACTCACTGACAAATCTGTGTGAATGTCAAATCTTCATCTAAACGGAGGCACCTTTAAGTGCTATTTGAAGTCCAAGTCAAGGCAGAGAGAGACAATCAAACGGGCGGCAGAGGAAAATGAAGTCAGGAGGTTCGAAGTAACACGTCTAAGCGTCAGATTTCACGAAGCTCACCGTCAGACAGCGTTCGGACCACAACATCTTCAGTGGAGATGCCGGGGCCGTGTTTGTTGTACGCCACAACCCTGAAACTGTACTCTGTAAACCTCTTGAGGCCCGTCATGGTGTAGGACAGGCCTGTGACGTCCATGTCCTGCAGAAAAAACACAAACATCAATTAACCTGCACTGTTAGAATTTTAGCTTTTTAAAGTCAACATTAAAACAGGCACAAGTTTTTGGACCACTAAAAAAAACAGGCCGTTTCTGCTACTGTTTCTTTAAGACTTTTATGTTACTGACCCTTGATATGGTTGTCTAACATCTTTACAAGTGAAAACTACCAGTGTATTTCACACCGCCTTTACAAAAAGTGCTGTGGTGGTATCATACCAGGGTACTCTGATATATACTATGCTACTGAACGATTTCCATATTCATATATTATAGCATATTTATGGTAATCCAGGGTGGTATTACCATGATATGATGTACAAAAACAAGCATACATGTCAAAACAAGTGTGCCAAAAACATGGTATGTGTATTGGAGTAAATTTCCAAAAAACTTAAAAAAAAAACAGGATAATATCATAGTAAATGCACACAAAATACATGTAAAACATGGCATTATAATAATAAATGTCCAAAAAAACGGTCAAAAAACAGGATAAAATCATGGTAAATGGACATAAAATATGTTTTAAAAAATTTATTACCGTAGTAAATTGCAAAACAATTTGAAAAAAAAAAAAAACCCATTGTATTACAAAAGTAAATTTGTAAAATTATATTGAAAAAAAAAATAATAAAACATGGTAATAAAACAGTAAATATCAAAAAAAAAAAAAAAAAAACCGATGGCCAAAACTGGGTATGATCACAAAACACATGTAAAAAATGGTTTTACCATAGTAAATGTAAAAAAAAAAAAAAAGGTGTATTTGCAAAAATATATGTAAAAACATGGCATAATAGTAACTCCCCCCCCAGTACTGCCATAGTAAATGTGCAAAAATATATGTAAAAACATGATATTATAATAGAAAATCTCCCAAAAACTATTTTAATACCGTATTTCAAATATATATAAAAACACTGTATTACATGCATGGTGTTACAAGCATGATCACAGTAAATGTGCACAAAATAGATGTAAAAAACATGGTAGTACCGTAGTAAATGTGTAAACATATATATATATATATATATATATATAAACACGGTATTACAATAGTAAACATAAAAAAAATAACATCATAAAAAGTATTACCACAATAAATGTGTAAAAACATTTGTAAAAAATGTATTACACTAGTAAGTGTTAAAAAATATATATAAAATGTATAAAATTAATGTAATAATTGTATAAAATGTATAAGAAACATGGTACAGTATAAGCATGATATCTGTCCAAATAATTTCATGGTATTACTATGGTACAAGTAAAAAAACAAATAAATAAATAAAATAAAGCAATAAGCCCCGTGAAGCCGTGGTTTACAGTGAATTTATAACAGCTAAGGGGCGTTGTTACGTAGTACGACGCAAAGCGGAGTAAACCCCCTTAGCTGTTATAAATTCACTGTAAACCACGGCTTCACGGGGCTTATTGCTTTTATAAAACTGTGGTTGCAACAAAGTGGTTGCCGAGCAGCACAGAAGTAAACAAAGGTGTTTGTTTGTAGAGTATTTTACAACAGCTTCGAACGCGGCTCAGCCAATCAGAATCAAGGACCGGAACTCTCCGTTTTATAATAAATAAATACAATGCAAATCCTATGATAATATCATGGTACTTCTGTGTTAGTCTGTCATTCATCAGATTAGGCCAACTCACTGAATACTGAATATCTATACATGTAAATATGGGTAGTCATAAGTTAATGAGCTTATGTCTGCGATATAATAACGTTTCTAAACTGTTTTTGTTCTTTTTGTGTGTGTGTGTGTTTTTCCGTCTACAGCTTGATTTCGAGCTTTCATGCGTCCTCACCTGCTCCGAGTCTCGGCCCTTCTCGCTGTAGAAGAGTCTGTAGGTCTGGATCTCGGCATTTCCAGTCATGGGTCTCTCCCAGCTCAGTGTGACCGAGGCAGTGCTGACAGAGACCACCTGCAGATTCGGAGCCGGACCCGGGACCTGAACTGAGAGACACAGAGGAGACAGAAGAACTTTTCAAGAGGAACTTCAAAAGCTACATCTCAAAAAAAAAAAAAAAA